CGCGTCACTTCGGCCAACCAGGCGAATTCGAGATCGAGGTCGATCGCAAACTCGGACTTCATCTCCAAGACGCTCTGCCCTGTTACGACAAGATGAGTGTTCCACGCGCCAGGTTGCTGGACCTGATGAAGGTATACTGACTCCGCGACGGATCAATGAAAACTTATCTGACAAAAACAGGCCCAATGCCAGATCTTCGCGACGACATATAACCCCGAGGGCGTTCGAATGGGTAACAAGGTCCTCCGCCAACGACTCAAAGGCCCAGCTCTCGCCTCCTATTACCCCCGAAAGGTCGTCGACATCCACACAGTCATGAAGTCGTTCGGACCTCACCTCACTACATTCGACTTGAAGAACGAGGAACGTCTAGATCACATCGCTTCGTACGTTGGGACAATGCAGATGGCAATCTCGGACGGCACGCTGACCGATAGAACAGACGCAAAGCTCGGGGGAAGGGCGCACCCACGAAAAAGAAGACAAAGAGTCAGTTCTCTCCATGAGCGAACATTTGTGATACATACTGACATCGCCGCAGCCCCGCCGAAGTCCAGAAAATAAATGTATACCACACGAAGCGATCGAGTTTAGACACTTTGTACCATACTGTCCAACAATTTTTTACCCAACTGTTCTCCCAGAGTCCCCCGAATTTTGCTACTGTCATGTTCACAGCGTTTCGTGCTTATGCCAGTGGGTGTCGGTCATCGTACGACCCCGTTCAGGGGTCGTGGTATGCGCACCGCGATATCGACCAGGCCTTAGACATTGAACCGGTATTCCTGGCATGGACCTCTACTGAATCCTTGCAACCGAGCTTAGTTGATCTGCTAGAGCCACTGTTGACTCTGCGACGCCAGCTGAGATGGTGATGCTTGATTTACTCATATGAACATACCAGCCAGGGGTGTGTGCCTTTTGCAGTTGATCAGAGTGTGAAGGGTGATACTTCAACCTTGCTACGACCCGGCGTCTCTCGCTAGTTGGATGTTATAAAAAACATTCCTGCCCCTTTGCGACCTGTGGTGGATGCTGGCCTTGTAATGCATCCAATTCACATCGCGGCCGTAGAGACTGACCGTTGAATGTTGCCTGTTGCTAGGTGCTCAGTGTCTGGTCACGGGGTGCTTCCCTGTGTCGCGTCAACTGTCTCCAGCCCACATATCATCACACCAGCCCTCGCGCGCTCCTTCCTGACAACAAAGACGCCCAGCAGAAAGCATTCACTGAAAAGTGGTTCCAGGGCACTTTTTCTTCGACCCAGGCATGGCCATTGGGATTACATTCCGTCGTGTCTTACGTTAACCTTGTGAAGTGCGGTCCCAATATCACACGCGCGAACCAGCCTACGCATCACAAGCAGCGAGTGAATTTTCTCTTACTAGGGGCTTCACCAAGTTTCTAGTTATATCACGGGGTTTCTGTTGCAGCCCGTGAGAAGCTGGTGTGCAGCCTGTTTCGAGGGACAGACCTCTCCATCTTGCAAATCTCACTTGCACTCCGCCTTGGAAATACACTGTATTGAGACGGCTCCTTCCTCGTCGGAAACAAAGTATGCACGCCATGACCCGCTTGCCCTTTCCTGCTTCACTTTTCTCTTCCCACTAACCTCTCCTTTCGTTCACAGCTCTACCAACTGACCCGCATATTACCTCCTGTCCCCCCCCCTTACACAGGAAGCTGTCTCCGCCCCCATCCTAGAGGTATACACGCACGCACAATACTCTCCTTCTCGCTGAAGACGATCGATCATTCTTGACGGATCACGATGTCCGATACGTCGACTGAATTCAGTCCTTCGCCGGCACGCCGGCCTGCCCGCTTCACAGCCAAGGGTGGTCTAAAGCCTCCTGACAAGAATCCTCGCCTGCACGCAAAGACTGCCCTTCCTTCCAACCAGGTACGTATTCTCACATGATGAAATTACTCCCCCCTTAGTAGTACTGCACTGGGCCAAGCGGCTCTATCCCGGCCTGACGCAACCCCTGTGGCTTGTTCTTGCCTTTTCCAACAACAGTGCCTAATTTGGAATTCATAGGCTCTGCCTCGCACCGGACCAGCAATCATCGTCACTTCTCCGCCTCCTCCCACCAATAGCACTCAGGTCAGTAGCATACCTTCTCACCAAGCCAACTTCTCCCCTCATTCTATTCTTCTACTGATCACTCCGCACCGACAGGACAACATCAAGCCCTTGAGCCTGACCGAACAACTCCTTGCCCGTCTTTCTGAGCAGGAGGAGCGCTTTACGCAGCAGCGGAAAGCCCTCAAAGACACCTCTGGTTCCACCGACTTCTACTCTCGTGGCCTTCTCAAGATGGCGAGCAGCAACTCTCTCCCCGTCACTCCCACGGTTGGAGAGAATCACGCTCCTAACCCAACTACCCGACCCGCCAGTGTCGACCAGAAGGAGGCCAAGTCCATGGACGACGAAGTTGCTCGTCTCAAGGCCGAGCTAGCCCAGGCCCACAATAAGATCTCTTGTCTCGACCAGGAGCTCGTCCAGAAGCGTGAGGCTGCCCCCATGAAGTTGGAGGTTAACACTCAGAAGGCCAATTTCTCGGCTGTCGATTTCGTCAGCCGTCCCTCGTCTGCCAACTTCAGGCGTGGTAATGGCTGGAACTCTCCTGATGTCGCTTACCTTGGCGGCGGCGATGCCATGAACGATAACATCGGCGATCGCTCGCGTGGCGGCTGGAGCTCTTCCAAGACTCCTTGGCAGGTGGCCAACTACGCTATCGCTGAGCCTAGCCCGATGAGCAACCACGTTGGCGGTGGTGTTTCCCTCTACAACAACACCATGGATGTCAACGGTTCGTACCGCATGTTGGACAATGTTCAACCGGAGAGGCTCGCTCCGGAGCCAGACCTCTATGTTCGCAATCATGGTGGCCGACGCGGCAACACCAACAACATTGGTGGCCGCTACCCCTCCTATTCGTATGGTGGCAATGGCTATACCCAGAGCAACTACGCCACCAGCAGTTACGCCAACAGTAACTACGCTCCCAGCAGCTATGGCGGCTACAGTCCCACCCCCAATCAGTTTGACCCCGCCATCGGGCACAAGAGCAGCGTCGATGTGCCTCTGTATCCCACTTATAACCCGTCGAACAGGACTGGGCTCTCACCTCATGCTCTGGAGTTTCACTCCAACACGGGCTGGAAGGATGAGGTACGTATTGCGAAACACAGCCTGAGCCCTGCTTGGCGTTCTCGTTCGGGACTGACAGGTCATGGCGCTCGTCAGGCTACTGCTGCCGAGGGACAGACCTTTCTTCCCACCACCGAGCCCATGAACTATCGCCGTCTCCTGGACAAGAACGCGTCCTGCGACTGGAGTTACATTGTCGACAAGATTGTGTGCCACAATGATCAGCAGGCCTCGATCTTTCTCCAGCAGAAACTCAAGGTGGGCACTCCTGACCAGAAATATGACATCGTCGAGGCTATCATTGCCCAAGCCTATGCTCTGATGGTCAATCGCTTTGGCAATTTCCTGGTTCAGCGCTGCTTCGAGCATGGTACTCCCGAGCAGGTCGTCAAGATCGCTGAAGCTATTCGTGGTCACACCCTGAACCTCTCGATGGACCCATTCGGCTGCCACGTTGTCCAGAAGGCTTTCGACGCCGTTCCCGAGGAATACAAAGCTATCATGGTCCAGGAGCTTCTCCGCCGGATTCCTGAGACCGTCATCCACCGCTATGCTTGTCACGTGTGGCAGAAGCTCTTCGAGCTGCGTTGGTCCGAGACTCCCCCTCAGATCATGAAGTATGTCAACGAGTCTCTTCGCGGCATGTGGCATGAGGTCGCTCTCGGTGAGACGGGTAGTCTGGTTGTCCAAAACATCTTTGAGAACTGCCTCGAAGAGGACAAGGTATGATAATTTCCATGTCTGTTGCTATCTTGTCGACCACGAGCTGACCTTGGACCCACAGCGCCCCTGCATCGAGGAGGTCCTCATCAACATTGACATTGTCGCCCATGGTCAGTTTGGTAACTGGTGTATCCAGCATATCTGCGAGCATGGTGCCCCGCCTGACCGCAGCCGTGCCATCGATCATGTCATCCGCTACGCTTCTGAGTACAGTACCGACCAATTCGCGTCCAAGGTCGTCGAGAAGTGCCTCAAGATTGGAGGCCCCGAATTCCTTGGCCGTTACCTCGATCGCGTTTGCGAAGGTCGTCGAGACCGCCCGCGTATTCCGTTGATCGACATTTCGAGCGATCAGTACGGCAACTACTTGGTCCAGTACATTCTCACTCATGCGGGCCCCCAGCACCGCGAAATGGTGCAGGCTCACATTCGAAAACACATGGTCTCTCTGCGTGGCTCCAAATTCGGCTCCCGCGTTGGTATGCTCTGCACCAACCCCGCTGTCGTCACCCGACCTGGTCCTGGCGTCGGACCTGGCATGTCTCGCATGGGTGGTGGTAGTGGTGGCCACCGTGGCTTCGGCAACCCCTATCGCTAGCGAATGCGCAGCCTGCGCCAGGTTTGCAGCTTCTCGCTTCATGCTTCGGCTATTCATCCTTTGATCTTCTGGTTTGATCGCCTAACGTCTGCCAGACCTCTGGGCCTTCCCACGTCTCTGTCTTCCGCGCCGTCTGCTACCGTTTTTCTTTTCACATGGTCTTGCTTTTAACTTCTTCGCGGCAACAAGTTATTGGTCCCTTTTCGCAACATATTCCGTTGCAGCTTCTACCAGATTCACAAGTCATCGTACACTGGACCAGCTACCGCCGGCCCTAGTGCTTTGGACAAATCATGGTTACGAATGGTTTTGCAGTACTTGGTGATACTGCACCTTTTGGAGCCCCCATTCGGGGGGCTTGATGGTACATGACAACGCCAGCCAACAACATTTTTATGAGTCTTCTCTGTCGTGGTTGGTACGTTTGTGACCCACGGTCAGGATTTCTGCGCTCTCCCGGCCAACTTAGTTGGTAGGAAGTGTGAATTACCTAAACATACTGGATGAAGGAATGAATGATGACGCGAGAATGGAAACAATTATCATGTACGAATATTTCCAGCTATCAGGCACACCTGGTCCGTAACCTCAGCTGCTGAGGGCATATTTTCGGTAGCCTGTAATTAAAACTTGATAGCCTAGCCTGCTTGTATCGTGTCCTTGCGTGGTGTCGCCATGTGTTTCGACTGTTATGGTGCTTCCAATTGTGACTCTTATTCTTTGTCAATTCGCATGGAAATAAGCTGACCGACTATCCATAAAGATTCTTGGCTCATGATAAGAATGCACATTGAGAATGTGGTATCCCGCCAACTCTGCTCGCCATCGTCTTGACGTGCCTTTCAGGCATCAAGCGGTGGGAAGCTGGCATCAACTACTGTCGGTGCTTCCTCTGCGGCCGGCGCAGGGTCAAGGTTCTTCTCCCATGGCTTCTTCGGCGCTGCTCTCGCGCCGAAAGGCTTCACGGTCTGAGGTATCGGCAGTGTCAGTCAGGCGGAAAGACAGTCAGGCGGAAGGAGAAGCTCTGGCGGCCTGGCTTACGGGATCTCTGACAACGGTGTCCGGGATCTCAACGATCCCGGGAATGGGAAGGCCCTGCTGTATCCTTTGCAGCATCTCGGCGAAGCCCATGGGATAGGCGGGCTGGTCGGCGCTTCCCGGTTGCGCAGCCGGAGCGGCAGCGGGCTGGGACTTGTCGACATAGAGGTCTGCTTTGGGGGCGGAGGACTGCCATGCCGGCACGCCGGACGGTTCCGCTGCTGGCGCTGCCGGCGCGTCTCCTCCTGCGGCGTCTGCAGGAGCGTGAGATGCGGCGGCTGTCTGGCGGGCATAGTCCTCCGGTAAGACGTCGGGCGGCGCGTGCTCGGGGTGATCTGCGAGCCAGGTCTTGTACTGGGCAAAGTCTATGCGCACGCCGACGCGCTGGGCGTAGTAAAAGATGCGGGCGTGGAGGGCCAGCTCTGCGGGCTCGCCGCGGGGGTTCGACGTGTTTGGGTCGCCCAGGATGGCCGAGAGGCCGGACTGTTTGAGACGATGCGTGTTAGTGAAGCAGCGGGTGAGGTGAGAGAGGGTATTAGTGAGGGGCACGCAGCACCAGGAAGTTCTTGTCTTTGGTCCAAGGATATGTGTCGAACGCCTTGAACATTCCGTCTGCGTCATCGATGGCCCTGATGCGCTCCGCGCCTGCAAGCGAGGGCTCTGCTTGTGACATTTTTTTTTCTTCTTTGCTGCTGTTCTGATGAGACGTGACCCAAAGTATGCCGAAGCTTGGTTAGGCCTGTGATGTCGGGGTTGGTGTCTTGAGGCGGGCTCTCGGTGAGCGAGTGCGCTCGAGCTCGGTGAGAGGTGAAGTGAAGTGGGACAGATCGATAAGGAGATAAGCGATGCCGAGTGCTGTGCTATTCTGTGCTGTGCATCATGGACATGAGGAATCGAAATGTCACACATCTAAATCATCGGCCAGCGAACCGGGAATTCCTCGACGGAAGAGTACATTGCAACTATCTTCATTTTACGGCGGCTCACCAAGACATACCCAAGTCCCCCTGATCTGCCGAGTAGACGCAAGGTCACAAGGAAGTCTCACGACGAAGCCGCACGTGATCTCCTTTCGTGGCCTTGGTGGCCTCCAATCCAGCCACGGTCTTCATCTTCCGTCTCGGGCTCCATCGCCGAGTCGCAACGCTCCGGTTTTCTCTCCTCATTACAGGCCCAGGATCCTTCGATCCTTGTCTACGTATCCCCCACCACCAATCCGATGCATCGCGCAGCCACCAGAGCGCTCCGTACGACCTACCGATGTACGGCGCGAACCTTGACTCGCAGTAGTCGACGAGGCCTCCTTCTGCCCCAGCAGCCCTCTGCCGCCGTCGCCTACGGGGCTCGCCAGTACCACCGCAACCCCGCGCGGTCGCCTCAACACGCCGGCCACGCCATCGAGCCTCTCCAGTCCTCCATGTATATCCGCCGCTTCTCTGCCGCCTTCGTCTCCGGCCTCGTCGGTTACGGCGCTTGGTACACCTACAACGGCAACGGTACCGCCACCGACAGCCACGACGCTGTAGCCCGAAGCTTTGCGACGACGACGGCGACGACGACCAGTGACGCCGCAGCCCCGACGCGGACGGTGCTCGTCATCGGCGCCGACGAGTTGCACACGGGCACCTACGTGGGCGAGGGTCCCATTTCCAAGACGACGGGCAACGACGGCAAGAGGGTTGTTGAGATGATCACTCCCGACCAGGCGACGGAGAAGCTGCGCAAGACGGAGCAGTCCTACTTCGTCAACAGAGGACAGGGTGTTCTGCGCTACGACCTGGTTCAGCTGCCGAGCAACGACCCCATCGAGGATGACCACGCCGAGAAGATTGTCGAGGTTCCTGGCCGCAACGGAGCGTCAGACGTGCCCAACAGCGACTGGATGTTCTGGGGCGTCTTTGACGGCCACTCGTAAGATCATCTTCTGGGCAAGGGTGAAAGGGACACGTGGGCTAACCAGTGCAGCGGATGGACGACATCGGCGAAACTCCGCCAAACCCTGATCAACACAGTAGCAAACGAGCTCAACGATACGTACAAGGCAGCGCCTGGCCACTCGCCTGCCGCTGAAGCTGTCGAGGCCGCCATCAAGGCAGGCTTCACCAAGCTCGACGACGAGATTGTCCACCAGAGTGTTGAAAAGGTTCTCAAGTCTGGCTCCAAGACTATGGCCGCCGAGCTCCTCCAACCCGCTCTCTCTGGCTCTTGCGCCCTCCTCTCCTTCTACGACAGCCGCTCCAAGCTTCTCCGCGTCGCTTGCACCGGTGACTCGCGCGCTGTCCTCGGCCGGCGCTCAGACTCGGGCAAGTGGACCGCCACGGCCCTCTCCGTCGACCAGACGGGCAGCAACCCCGACGAGGCGGCGCGCATGCGCAAGCTGCACCCAGGCGAGGACCGAGTCGTCCACAACGGTCGCGTCCTCGGCGGTCTCGAACCGACACGCGCCTTTGGCGACGCCACCTACAAGTGGAGCCGTGACATCTCGATGCGCCTTCGCCAGGCCTTCTTCGGCCGCACCCCGTCCCCGCTGCTCAAGACGCCGCCCTACGTGACGGCCGAGCCCGTTGTGACGACGACAAAAGTCAACCCTGAGAACGGCGACTTCCTCGTCCTCGCCACGGACGGCCTCTGGGAGATGCTGACCAACGAGGAAGTCGTCGGCCTCGTCGGCAAGTGGATCGAGACGCAGGCCAGCGGCTCGTCGTCCAACTCGCAGTTCGACTCGACCTGGGCCCGCATCTTCGGCTCGGGCAACAAACCCCAGCTCCCCGTCGAGCACGCCAAGGGCCAGGACGTCGGCGGCCAGAAGACCCCCATCCGCCTGCAGCAGTGGGGCATATCCCCCGACGCGCCCGAGCGCTTCGTCGTCAAGGACAAGAACGTCGCCACGCACCTCGTGCGCAACGCCCTCGGCGGCAAGAACGAGGAGCAGGTCACCGCGCTGCTGACGCTGCCCGCCCCCTTTTCCCGACGGTACCGGTACGTCATCCCCGGCCCCGTTGAATGCCTCCCTTGATTCCCGTAGTCTGAGTGCTCACCATGTCTACAGTGACGATCTGACCGTCCAGGTCATCTTCTTCGGCAACGGCAGCAAGACGGGCGAGGTCGTCGTCAACCTGGAAGCAACGGCGCCCGAGGAGCCCGTCAAGGCAAAGCTGTAACGAGTCCCCCCTTTTTTTTGGGCATCCCTACCCCCCTTCCCGTCGAGAAAGCAGCACGTTGATTTGTTGTGGCTGCTTTTTGGTTTCTTCAAGAGGAAAAGCGCGGCGTTTCGCTGGATAGAGAGGCTGTACGGCGCGGCATGGAGCTCGGGTGCGAGGGCACGCCATCTTGAGCACGTCTTGGGTGGTGGAGGAGTGTGTCGTCGTGGTCATTGTAACATGAACAGCGTGTTCTTTTTTTTCTCCCTCTGCGAATACAAGCTCGACTGCTGCACGACAGCGTTCGAATCTTATCATTATCATTCGACAATTTCAGCATCAAAAGTCGGCTCGCTGTCGTGTTTCGTGACGGGTGGTCCTCTTGGTAACCTGATCACAGTCTTTAGTGGGAAATTGTCCCTTTTCACCCACGTCGGGGCATCTCATGTGGGTAGCTTTTAATCGCGTTGCGCTTGACCCTGAGTCAAGCTACGTGTTTCTTCCTTTCCTACCTATACCTCTTGTATTGATATACCCTTCCTCGCCGCCTCCTCCACCAGTCTCAGTGTTGGTACAGACAATCGGGCCGCTCGACCCAACCTGTCACCCTCAAGCTGAACAAAGGCTTCTTGATGGTTCATTCCTGGCAATCTTGACCGCCGTGCCCTGCAATACGTTGAACGTCATGACCCCCGCCCAGCGAGCTACCTGTCTTTCCCCAGCATCTCGTCAGCCACTTCATCGCACCCATGTCTCAAGCCAGCCGAGCCGCCTCCTCCAAATCAGATGGAATTGCCCATCCGTGTGCTAATGCGGATCGTCTGAACGCCACGATAGCTTCATCAATGCCATAATCAGTAACCCTCGTCCGGTACCGGACTGGGTCTTCCAGCCTCGCCGGCTGCGGGTCCTCGCCGGACATCGCCATGCGGACCTGTACCAGGACATTCTCGAGGCTCGTGGCAGGGGACCATCCCGAATTGGTCAGCAGCTCCATGCACATGGCGCCGCCGTTTGTGACGTGTCCCCCTCCGCCGGCCATGAAAGGCAGGAACCGAGGACGGATCACCCGCACAAAGGGCGGCGTCAGAGGATACGAGCGGCCGAATCGCAGCTCAAGAACGATGGACCGAGCACCCGCACTCTTCATGTCTTGGGCGAGATGGAGCCTAGGGTCAAAGCTGTGCAGCTCGACGATCCAATGGAACAGGTTTTCGATGCTGTTGAAGTCAATGTACCAACCCAACTCGTGGAGTGGTGTCGTCGCCTGAACCTTTTGCAGCTTCTTCAGTTCATGGCCCAGCGCCCGTCGACCACTGTCCATGGCCCAGGTGGGGGCTGGAAGCTTAGGGAGAGACTTAATGTCAAGCGTTCCTGGTCGAAAGTCGGTTTTCCTGGAATTCAAGATGACAGCAGTTGTTGACGTAGCTTCTGGTCCACCAATTTCGGGACCGATGTCTCTCACACATTTTTCAAAGTCGCAATCTTCCACAGAAGGATCGCCAGTCTCGACATCTTCGAGAACCACATTCTCAACCGGGCTCGTGAGTTGTTGGCTTAGACGTGCGCCTGAGGAAGCTGTTTCGGGAATACCAACTGGGGGGCCGGCGCCGCTCACCTCCAACATTCTGGTCCAAGGGCCATATACCCGGTACTTGGGGTCCTGTTTGAGATAGGCGGTGCCCGGTGTAACAGGAACCAGCTCGATGTCATCCTGGGGCCGCATAGCCGGGGCCATGGCACTTTGTACAATCAGATATCGGCACTGTATCCAGTCGACATCCGCAACGACATAGTGCGGGTTGTTGCTGACGAACGCATCGGGTCTATTCACAATCTCACAAAGGCTGATGACAGATGATGGCTGTAGCTGTGACCTGAACCAACCATACGTGTCTGTTTGGGCGGGTTGTGCTGCGTAGGAGCTGCTCGTTTCCCAGTGCGGGCTGAAGTAGACGCCGTGGCCAAATGCTCGACCATTGACAACCCTAGAGAAGTCCAGGCCTTGGCGGATAATGCTGTGCCAGTTTCCCAAGGAGCTTCCATGCCAAGCAAAGATCGTGGGGGCCGCTTTGGTCAATGAATTGGCTCTGACAGCCTCGATTAACCGCTGCTCCTTGTCTGGGGATCCTTGAGCAAATCGAAACTGGACGCATCGTGTGGAAATACCAGATAGCTTCTCGCACGCTCCACTCGATATGCTGTCTGTTGCGATGTTATCTGCAGAATCGATTTGCACAATCATGGATCGATTGGACGTAATAATCCACCTCAGCAGTGCCAGCGATGGTTTACCCATACCTGGGCAGTCTTCAATGGCGGCATTTGGCTTGTGCATGAGGTGTTGGCGCATGGTTGGAACAGCAGGCAAGCTAGCAGTGATCAAGGCTAGAGATTGCGCCCTTTGATGCGGGTTGAGCTCGCTGAGCTCATGTTCGAAAGGGTGTATGAAGTAGTCCTCCTTACAGTCGTAATGAATCGTCAGATCATCTTTTGTAGAAGCTCCACTTATATGAGACGAAGAAGTGCTGGGGATGGTTGCTAAGCACTCGAACGTGATTGCGTTCTCGACGTAGTCGAAAGATACTACGACGCAGTGATAAATAACGAATACAGCATCCAGTGACAAAGTTCCCACTCTGGCTAGGAGAAAGACATCCCCCAGCCTCAGAGAGGACACTACCTCACTGGTTGTGCGATCCTTGCGGGTTCGGAACAATCGACGCCGACTGAAGTTGACGATACATTGATTAAAATCTTCATCAAGTGCTCTTGAGAAGATCGGCGACGGTAGGAGCAGATTCAAACCATCAGGAAATTCCCGGAGCTTGTTTTGCTGCAAACTAATCATGAAGCATGAGATGAGGAGGTCGACGACGAGTGGTTGGCTGATAATCTCATGTTCGATGCTGGGGCCGAAACCAAGTGACATGTACTGGTAAAGACACAGTGGATTGTCGCACACATAAGGGGTAATGGCAGCAAAGGCGTCCGAAGTCTTGAGATGGCAAACCATGCAGTACTTTGTACAATTGACAAGGTAACGCAGCGCGAACTGCATGGCAACCAAGGGGAGACTGCGCTCCTGCTTCGCGTTAGACAGATTGGATATCTGCAGCAGGCCGGAAGAGTCAGACTCAGGGTTCCGTATGAGGTAGTCTTGGTTGAGTTTGTAGGGCGCGGTGGGAGAGATGAGCACTTCAGCCTCCTGATCTGCCGTTACAGCTTCCGGGGCACTCGTAGGACCCCGAAGGTGGTCGCTCTTCGAATGAGCTAGCATTGCCAGCTTCGCGTTATCCCATGATAGATTGGACTGGATCCGTAGCAATAACAATGCAGCAAATTCTTGTTCCATCCACAGATCCAATGAGTTTGACATGTAGAGGCGATCGAAATCGCCGTTGCCGTCGCTTGCGTCCTCCAGCGTCGAGGCTGCCTGATCTTGCTTGTTAAACGCAGCTTGAGCGGTCACCAAGGAGGGCTTGTAGGTCGTGCATTGTCCGACGCGGAACAGCATAGGCTTCTCCTTTCCCTGTATAGTGGCGAAGGTCTCGAGTGGGAGATAATGGTCCTCATACTTGAAAAGGAGGACAATGTACTCGGTCGGCTCGATATCCCAGGCTGTGAGCGTCTCCGTGGAGAGGCCCAGCTTGCTGGCTCTGAGGCTCAGCGAGACTATGTCATCGTTGGGCCAAAGACCAATCCCGAAGCCAACCTCTCTTGCCTTGGCGAGATCCTCGCGTAGGCGAACATTCCTCTTGACTTGGTTCTGGCTGCCAGCCGCGATAGGATGCAAGTCTATCCCACTTGTTGTGTTGTCGTGAATCTCGAGATCATAGTCCTCAAATTCAACATCCGTGTCACCGCCAATCTCATCCTCAGGCGAAGAGTCGGTGGCATCGGCAACAGAGACATGATCTTCGGATTGCTGCTCCGTGGCAGCCGACCCAAGCGCCGTTTCCAGCTGGTTTGAAAGGATGGCGAGGCTGTCGATCACGGACCTGCCTTGCGTCGAGTAGACAAGGCGGCCAAGGACACCCATGATACTGCTGGGAATCTCATCGCATTCGGTGCTCCCGTGGAAGCCTTGATGCTGCGGATAGTCGTCGACACTTGCAGTGGTGAGACGAAGAGGTATCTGAACCGCAGATCGATTGCTAGTGTAGATGCAAACGACCTCACCGTCGTCGGGGCCAAGGCCCACAGAAGAAATGCCCGGGATCGATATATTTATGGCGGCTGCCACATCGGCACGAAACTTGCGACGCGTCATCGCGAAGGCCAGCGATATGTCGATAGAAACTGGTAAAACTGGGGACGACGTAAAATTAATACGAGGCACAAAGCGTAGAAAGTGGAAATGTCTGGTAGGAATACAGGCCGTTGATGATAAAGGCCAGCTGATGTAGGAGGACTCTTTCTCAAGGGGAAAGAGCTTCCACGGCGCTCCTGCTTCTTATAGAGGCGACGAGCCTGTGAAATCACTTGGTGAGGTGATCAGTGAATACAATGCCCTGGTGTGCTCCTGACAAAAGAAAGGAGAAGAGATGATATCAATGCAGCCGCAGCGCGTTGAAGAAGTGACTGAGGCGGTCATGTGAAGACGATTGATTCGTCTCTCATTGCTGTTGATTTTCAGATTCACTTGCCTTTGTCAGGCTCGACGTCTCGTCCTGACTAGGCGAAATGACATCTCATCTGGCACATGCAGCTGCATCAGATGGGGTGGAAGATCCGAGAAACATCTGTTGACGGGAAACAGTCGATCAATATTGACCAAGATCCCGCGGTTGCGAACTTTGCGCATTGTCGAAGCCATTGCGAGAGCCGATGGAGGACCTGTCTCAAGGCTGCGCGACGCAACTCAACGTACGCTCTTGGAGAGCTCGATGCTGAGGTCATCATTAGTCGAGCTTGATAGAACAAGCACATCTTGCCTTTCCTGCAAGGGGTATATGCGACAAGCAGATGCTCAGATCTACTTGCACCTGTAGAGTCGAGCTCAATCTGGACCCAGGTCGAAGAGGCTGGGTATCAGTCGCATGCGCGCTGCCCTGGAAGCATGCCCACTTGGTGCAACTTCAAGAATCTGCTGCTCAACATTCACTTAAGTCACATCGAGTCCCAAATTGGTTTGAAGTACTGTTGTTACATGACGCACTGGTGTCATGGCCAGTCTGACAGCCTGTCAGTGCGGCTCAGCTCGCATGTCCACTCAGGAGCGACGTCTCTTTTGCGACTTATGATGACCCCATCCGCGACATCGCGTCGTGATCAACGAAGAACATCACTCACACCTGACACGCCAACAAACGTCACCATGACCAGAAGCAGCTTCTATATTCATCTCTAGTATTTTCGCATGTGATATGGACCCAAATAGCCATCCCAACCTTCAATCGTCGGCACTTCGTTCTCATCCCGCAACAGTCTACGCTTGTGATCAATGACTCCAGAGAAGTCATTGCATATATGGAGGGTCTGGCCCGGTTGTGTATAGCAAAAAAAGAAAGAGAGAAAGAAAGAGACGGGGGTGCGAAGGGAACCATGAGCCGAGGCGAGGCCAAATTTCAGGACGCGTCTAACAAATCCTCGTCATAGACACCCTTTATCAGGACAAGCCCGTGTTCCTATGATCCCCCACCCCCCCGCCATAGTAATAGTTTTAAGGTGTAGCATAATGGCCTGCAAGCTTTGTTGTTGCAGTGGCCCAGTGGCCCCGAGGCCGAGTCAGCCCCGCGCAGGGAGGTCGCGTTCGGGGATAACTCCGAAGAAGGACGGCAAAAGACCAGCGCACGGAACGGCATGGCACAGTACGGCCTCTCCACGGCTTCTAGGAGCACGAAGGGTGTAATATGCGGTAAGTCCTAGAGAACGCCTCCAGTGTGAGACAGGGCAGCTTTAGTTTGACGTAAGAGCGTCTGCGCGTACGAATCCAGACAAAATCCCTTCCAATGCACTTTCCAGATCCAGAGTATCTCGTTGTAACGCCGGGGTTGTGAATGCTGCTTGAGGTGTGGTGGTATGGGTGCAAGGCTCCCCTCCGTTGATCAGTTGTGCTGGAAGAGAACGCTGATTGATTCGCCGTGGTGGACGCGGCGGATGGCCTCGGCGAAAACAGGAGAGACTATGGGTAGGGTCAGTGGGGGATTCCCCGGACGACCCGGCATGGCGTGAAGGTCTTACCGTCCAAATACTCAAGCTTGGGGCACATTTGCCTGTGTTCCCTTTGGGGAACAGTGTTGGTCACAATGATCTTGTCAATGGCAGAGGCATTGATGCGGGCAATGGCGTCGCCGCTGAAGATGCCGTGGGTGAGGAGGGCTGTGATAGAGGTGGCGCCTTCCTTCTTCAGGAGCTTTGCGGCACGGGTGATCGTGTTACCAGTGTCCACAAGGTCATCGATCAGGATGCACGTCCTGTCCTTGACGTCGCCGACCAGCATCATGCTGGCGTTGCGTTGTTCGCTGTACTTTGTCGGGCGGCGTTCCTGACAGCTAGTCAGCATGCCACTCCGATTCGCTGCACGAGCAGGCCTACCTTGTGGATGAGAGCAAAGCCCATATCCAGCTCGTCGGCGACGGCAGTAGCGCGCTTGGCGCCTCCAGCATCCGGACTAATAATGACGGCTTCCCTGTAGTTGGGAATGTTCTGCTGGATATACTTCTTCAGGAGAGGCTTTCCATAGAGGTTGTCCACCGGCACGTCGAAGAAGCCCTGGTACTGGGGATCGTGGAGGTCCATCCTACAGTAGTCAGCCATCCGTCCGGAAACGAGTCCCGAATTGAGTTGCTGATTTCAATGGGGACGTGGCCCCACGGCAGAGAGTATGCATTCACGAGGAGGCATGTATGAACAAGATGGCTACAGGAAGACCTACGTGATCTGAGCGTCGTTAGCAACGTTTCGCCACGGGCTGGTCTTACGACAAACCCAAAATTCGCTTCAGGGTTCAGTGGAGACTCACCACATGGTCGGCGCCGGCACAGGTCAGCAAATCGGCGACGAGGGTGCCGGCCTGGGCGACCCATTGCTTGTAGCCAGGCTTGACCTTGAAGTTGGCCAGAGCGCTCTGGTTGTTTCCCTGGTCGTGGGTGGTGAAGCTGGGTTGCGACGACAGGGAGCCTTCTTGTTGGTGACGGCCCGGGGTCTTGGGATCGCCGTTTCTTGAGTAGCCATTGAGGTTGTTTTCGGCCAGCTTGGTCCTAACGAGCTTGGAGTCGAGGCCCTCGATGCCACTACTCAGCGTCTGGGTCCTCGAGATGCCCGGGCCAGGCGTAGCAGGGACGCTTTCGAAGGTATAGCCCCCATTTTGGGGGTTTTCAGGCATCTTGAGCGGGGCACCGATCTTGTTGTAAGGTACGTCGGGCTGACGCGAGTAAGGGAACAGCGGCGTGATGGCGGTGACTCGCTTCGCGGAACCGGTCTTGCAGGCGGAGATCATGATGCAGAGGTCAATGAAGCCGTCGTTGACGGAGCCCGAGGCGGACTGGACAATGTACACATCCTTTCCTCGGACGGAATCCTTGATTTCGCATCTGCTCTCACCGGCCGAGAATTTTGTGAGAATGCGCTCGCACGAGGTGACGCCGAGGATGTTGCAGATGTTGTCAATCAGCTCCGGGTGGGAGTTCCCGCCGAGGATGACAATGTTGCGAACCATAGTGTCTTGGCGAACGTGTCAGAGACGGTGTCCGAGAATCAGGATTGGACCGAGCCTACCTTGCGGTCCGCTGGGTCTTTTGTGGTAGGTAGGGGGAAGAAGCGATGCCGTCGATGAGACGTCTTTCGTTCCGGGGGTCGGAAGTCTTGGAGGAGTTTGGCGGTGTTCAATGCGCCAACTGTGCCAGGACAATGAACTTTCCGTATCGACAGGGCGGTCAGGCTTGTTGTCGTCGTCAACGGTGAAGCAAGATTTGCGATCTTCGCGATGGTTGTAGGTGACGCGCGGGGCGACGTCAGAGGAGCGAAAGCGAGCAAAAGAATGCCGAGGATCGGAGTAGGACGGATGCGGTTCGAGGCGGGCCGAGACGGACGAATTGGTGACGTACGGAAAAGCTTCCCTCAAAGAAGAATTATTGTCAGAGAGGCAGCATGGCTCGGGGGGGCGATTTGCAGTGTGATGCCGGATTGATCAATGACTGATTTGCAGTCGGCAAAACAGCCAAGTGGAAAAGGCTGGATGACTCGGTGAGGAGAGGGAGCGGGTAAGATGTATGCGCGGCGAGGGCAGAAAAAAAGCTGGAGTCTCGAGCTTGGTGGGGTCCTGGTTCCATGTGCCATTGCCATGGCGGCATGTACAATGTACCCAGTGTCTAGGTACCGTACTTCCCTAGGTAGGTGCTACCAGGGTGCAAAGCGGAGATGCAGGCCCTGGCGGCACCCCAGGCAAGGGCAGCCGGTTGCGTGCAGGCAAATTTTGCGCCATCTGCGTCATGGTCTTCGTGATCACACTGTATTTAGCCTGTCTTCAGCTGGCTACAGGGGGAATGCTCAGCGAAGCTTGGTGCTGTGAGATTAATCTTCCACCGTGCATCTGCGAGACACTGGCACGCCATCCTGCTCTTTCTGCCCCTCCATTTTGGCCGTCCTTGTCCCCCACCAGCCCACCAGCCTGACGATCTGGAAACCCGACAGAGCGAAAAGTCCACCACTGACCCAATTGGCGATTGTCATCACGCGCATGCCTGTCTTGACTTTGAGCCAGCTTTACCAGCGTGACACTTTCAACCGTGTTGAGATCATCGACATTCACTCCGAGTTGCTGAGTGCCAGCTACACCGACTTTGAGGGGCCTTTATAAAGCTAGCCTTCTAGCCTTCACCAGCTGCATCTTACTCAGTCTCCCTCGCGTCACATCCTTCGGTTCGACAGGCCTCTCAAACACATCCTTTCCTGGGGAGGTGAGTCAGTCATTGGTTCAGTCACCCAACAGTTTGTCTGATAAAACACAAACAAATACTGCGTGACGAACCCCATTCCTGGGGTTCATATGGGCAATTGACCACCTAGACGACTAACATTTCTCATCAGCCAGCGTCACCATGAAGATTCTCGAGGCCCAGTCGGCCGTCCTGACCAATTTCGAGGTCTACCACCATGTCGTCAACCAGCCTCAAGGCAGCAGGCGAGCCGGGAAAAAAGGCCCGACAAACTACGAGACTTTGCATCGAGAGGTATGCCCAATGAAGGAAATATGTATTCATTTTTAAAAGAAAACGCTAATCTGTCAAGCTTGTTCATTATCTCACCACCATGCCAAACCCCCTCGCCCAACGGCCCCTTCCTTACAGCCAAGACTGCATCAAGCAGCTGATCCAGCGCCTGCACCCCTACGAGCTCGCCAAGGGCGAGATGATTATGATCTTCAACCTGCGCCCGGCCTCTGCCTCCGCTCTCAACACCATCATCGAGGACATGGAAGATCGCTTCGACGAGGACAAGCAGGCTGAGATTGTCGACATTATCGCCGAGGTTCTCGGAACTTTCCCGCCTGGGGGCGCTGGCGGAGCCGCAGAGGCCAACGGCCAGGCCGAGCACGGGACGTCGTAGCTCTACATCCCAGGCCGCCCATGGCGCCACGTTGACGAGTCGTCGTCGATCTCCAGCACGTGGAGCGACTGACGCAGCATTCGAAACGACATCCTCCGCAGCGGTGCCCATCGGCGGCTCACATGAGTGTGCAGCCGCCCTCGCTCTGGCCGCCTGCTGCAGATGTCGTCTTGACCGCCGTGAAACAGATGTCTTCAAAGGCCGGCTTCAGGAGCTCACCCGTCACGGCAGAGCACTCCATGTACCTGTCGACGCGCATCTCCTGCGCCTGCGCGTACGCTTCCTGCGCAAAATGATGCCGTTGGGGTCGGTCTCGGATCGCAGGTCTCGCTTGAGACCGAGCACCAGGATAGGGAGGTTATCAATCCGCTGGAAGGCCATCTTGACCTCTCTCAACCACTGCCAAGCGCATCAGAGTACGGCTCACCCCGTAGGGAGGACGATGACCACTCACCACTCTGCGCGTGTTGATGAGACTGAGTCGCTGGCTTATGTCATAGCAAATGACAACGACGTCAGGGTCGAGAAGCTTCCAGCTGTCAGGGCTGTTGTTATCGTAAAACTCAAGGCGATAGGGCCGTGCGCCAAGCTTGATCTCAAAGATGAACGGCTGGTCAATGTCGCGGAGCATAGTCACTGGGCCGGTTCCCTCGCCAGCGCTGATGCGTCTGGCGTGTCTGCCGAGTCAGCCGCGTGCCGGTGATGCTGAAGCGAGGAAAGCATCGGCCTTCTGGGCAGAGCGGGGTGGGAGAGGAGGGTTACGTACGACAGGAAAGACGTCTTGCCACACTTCTCATCGCCTACGAGCAATATGGTGACTGTTTCTGTATCCATTTCGTCTTGTGTTTTCTACGTAAACTGATGAGTGCGTCCGGCGAACAAATGGCGCAGGCTGAAGGGTGAAGCCATGTCGTTCGTTGATGGGCGCCGAAGATAGGGACGTATCAGCCACACCAATTGATCCCTGACACAGCCACTTGATGTGGCTCGAGCGTTTCCTCTCAACTCACTTCAAGGCTCTTGCTCTTGACGGTTTTGACAGCATCCAGCATGTGTAGAGAGAAGAAGAAAAAAAGGAGTTCTCGTTGCTTGATGAACTCTTTCTATTGCCTTGTATCTCAAACACGCGCAGACCTTTAATGAAGGCTGCGAGTCTCCTCTCGGCGGCCGAGTCCAGCGTCCTGCGCCCGAGACTCCATTTCTCGTCCTCCCCTCACATCACGAGAATTTTACCTTCATCGCCATCGTCTGCATCCCATCACCAGACCCGACGCACGCAGTCGTCCACCGCCACCATGTCCAACAACGTCAGGTACGATACCTGGGACAAGGAGCGGCTCATCTGCCGCGTGCGGCAGCTCGAGATGGAGATCCGCCACCGCGACGCCGCCGCCAAAAAAGCCGTGGCACTGACGCACTCGGCGCCCTCGACGCCCGGCGGCGACTCGTCCTCGGCGGCAGCAGCGCCGCCGCCTGCGAAGAAGCGCAAGAAGGGAGCCGCCAACATTGACCCGTCGCGCTACTCGTACCGCTACGTCGCTCTTCGCCTCGCCTACCTCGGCAAGAACTACAACGGCTTTGAGCACCAGCAGTCGGCCGTGCAGGCGACGATTGAGTCGGAGCTGTGGTCGGCCCTCACCAAGGCCTGCCTCATCTTCCCGCCCGGCGAGGACATTGACCAGATTGACTTTAACTACAAGGAGCTCGACTACTCCAAGTGCGGACGCACGGATAAGGGCGTCAGCGCCTTTGGCCAGGTCATCGGCCTCCGTCTCCGCAGCAGCAAGCCCCTGCCCAAGACGGCGGCCCAGCTCGAAGAGGAGGCGCGCAAGAAGGCCGAGGCCCTCCAGGAGAAGCAGAAGCAGCAGCAGCACGACGGTCAAGGGGACGTCAGCATGCAGGACGCCGCAGTCGAACAACAGCAGCAGCCGTCATCACCTCCTCCCGCGCCCAAGCCCTGGGACCCCATCAAGGACGAGCTCCCCTACTGCAAGACGCTCAACCGCCTGCTGCCGCCCGACATCCGCATCCTGGCCTGGTGCCCGTCGACGCCCGAGGGCTTCTCGGCGCGCTTCTCCTGCACGGAGCGCCAGTACCGCTACTACTTTACGCAGCCGGCCTTTGCGCCGGCGCCCGAGGGCCTCACGCCGCCCAAGGGCCCCTCGCAGCCGCGCAAGAAGAAGGACGCCGCGCCGCCGCCGCCGCCGCGACCCAAGGTCGGCTACCTCGACATTGACGCCATGCGGAACGCCGCCAAGAAGTTCGAGGGCCTGCACGACTTCCGCAACTTCTGCAAGGTCGACGGCGGCAAGCAGCTGA